AGGTTTGGAGACGAAGATAACTTCAGACGCATCTCAAAGTGGCATTGGCTCCGCGCTCCTACAACGTCACGGGGACTGCTGGAAACCGGTCGCTTACGCGTCGAGAGCGCTGAATGAATCGGAACAGAGATATTCGCAAATTGGAAAAGAGGCTTTGGCGTTGGTTTTCGGTTGCGAAAAGTTCAACCATTTTGTGTATGGTCGCCCACTCATACTCGAGAGCGACCACAGCCCGCTGATAAACATATCAAGGAAAGGCATAGCCGATATGCCGCCGAGAGTGCAACGTTTTTTCCTACGATTGCTCAAATACGATTACACGTTAATATTTGTTCCTGGCAAGCAGATGGCCCTGGCTGATATGCTTTCTCGGTCTCCTGCTCCTGGGAACAAGGGGGCCGCAGACACGGGCAGCGTCGAAATCCACGCCGTCACAGTCGTATCAGCACTCGTAAATGAAAAAAACGGCTGCGAAACTTGCACACGAAACCGCTACTGATCCGTATCTTAACGTAGTACTAGGAAAGCTCGGGAGAAGAGACGAAGTGGAAGGGGCGCTGAAATCAGTTGCCGCCGAACTTTCAGTAGTAGACGGCATACTTTTGAAAGGAACGAAAGTAGTAATTCCCACGAGCATGCGCAGAGAGATGTTAAAGAGGATTTACGGAGGCCATCTTGGCACGGTAAAGTGCAAAGCTGGGGCTAGGCTATTGGTCCACTGGCCGAACATAAACTTTGACGTCGAGTCGTTGATCCAAAACTGTCCGACCTGCAGAACATATGCCTATAAGCAACCCATCAGAGCCTCTGATTTTACAACCAACGCCTACTCAACCATGGTACCGTGTCGGTGTCGATCTCTTTCAGTAGTCCGAAAGACACTATCTGTGTGTTTACGATTCGATGTCCAATTTCCCAGAGGTGGAGCTGCTACCCGACACAACAGCCAACTCGGTTATTGATAGACTGGTTGCTATATTTTCGAGATACGGCATCACAAAGGAGGTATGCTCAGATAACGGCCCACAGTTTAGCATCCACGAGTTCGCGCTGTTTGCAAAGCATTACGATTTCAAACATGTGAAATCCAGCCCGCAATACCCCCAATCTAACGGGCTTGCGGAAAAGGGTGTACAAATAATCAAACGCATCCTAAAGAAAACGAAAGCAGTAAACGAATGCTCTTGGCTTGCCATATTAAATTACAGGGCATGTCCTGTCGAAGATGGTCGGTCTCCAGGCGAGCTGCTGCAAGGAAGGCGGCTGCGCACACCCGTGCCGGACTTCGATCCCCTTCCTGCGATACGGGTCAAGAAACACCGAGAGACAGGCCACAACTAGCGGGTGCTGCCCCGCCTTAAAAATGACAACGTGGTACGCCTGAATGGAGCGTCATGGTCGCGGAAAGCTAAGGTGGTTGGATCAGCCAGGCCGCGGTCCTTTTACGTGCGTACGGAGAATAATACCGTTCTTCGGCGCAACCGTCGACACCTTTTAGCGACGAAGGAAAAATGCGGGGTCGACTTGTCAGACGACGAATATTCGGACGACGACCGGGCCTCGTCACACGGAATGACATCCACAGCTTCAACCACCACGACGGCTCAACAAACGGCAACTCAGCAGCCAACGGTTCAGCCACCGCGAAGGACAACACGACAGAAGCGGCCTCCGGAGCGATTGGGTTATGACCAGCGCTTCCAGCAAACGAGCCAGAGGTGTTGAGCTCAGCGGTGAATGACCGTTGGGAAGGAGGATGTATCGTATCAGATCAAGGCGGACAAGCTATCTGTATGCTCCATTGCCACGTGCCCTCCAATACACTAACCCCTTTCCACCTTTGGCTATATAAGTAACAACACAGAATAAACTAGGGCATTGTTATCCTGACACCCGAGTTGTCTATTCTTACCAGCCCGCACAAGAACGATACAGGGACCAGTTCGGTCCCTTGTCCACGGACGTGAGTGACGAAAAGAAAAGAAAACGCGTCGCTTCGATGCCAATACGGATGTAGGGGGCTTTGCTCACGTCACACAGTCCCGAGACGTAGCTGCTGGGCAGGGAGCCCGAAGAACGATTCATGTTCCCCTTTGTATGTTGGATAAACCAAGACTCAACGAAGAGCCGCTTTCGCCAATTCCTCTCCAAGGCCAGCATGGTCCTTCCCTCGAAGTTGACTGTGTGGCCGCCGGCCGGCTGCTTCTGCGTGCTCCGCAAAGGAGCTTGCCTCCACATCCTTCTTCTGGACATTATATTTGCGCCGCGTGAGCCTCTGTGTGACTGCACAGAAACAGGGAATTATTTTGTAATAGGCTATCGACGAGAAATAATTAATGAACTAAAATTATGGGCTGAAATTAAACGGAATAATAAGGAAATTCTTATGAACTTTTTTGTCAAATAAATCACACAAGTGCTCTTGTGCATTAATTTAAATCTGATAAAGCCTTTGTCTGCGACCAGTAGATCTTATATTGGTTTTCAAATCTTAGAAGTACATTTTTTCTTTGCTTAGGTACAATAACACATGCAGGCATCTTTTCACTGTTATAATTTAAAAAAAAATTAAAAATGCGTCAGCATGACTTTTTAGAAACGTCGCACTCGTCCCGCTTTAAGGAATCGCTAACGTTGATCCCCTTCATTTTTCTGTTTGGTTTTCTCTTTTCCTTTATCTATTTTTCGCTGCCTTCTTTGGCCTCATTACAGGATTAGTGTTAGCGATTCTCAAAGGGGGACATGTGTGTGGCGTTTCCCAAGGGTTATGCTAACACATTCCCTAAGGATCCACCAATGGGACTTCCTGTAATTCATTTTCAGCCCTTTTCTGTACTCTGCCAGTGAGCGTTCGTCGACGCCCTTGGATACGGTCATCTATATCACTCGTGGAAAGAACCACATTCATACCCCTCGTGGAAGGAACCGCATCCATATCGCCCGCAAATTGAACCGCACCCATCGTTTTAACAACACACACACATCGTAACCCACGAACCGCTACTACGAAACCCCAGAGCTAAATTTAGAGGAGAAAATGACGTCACATGACGTCGTCTCACGTCACCTATGAACAAATTCAGTTTCTCCGCTAGATTTAGCGGGAAAATTGACGTCACGTGACCTCAACACCAATTCAATTTCCCGCTAAATGTAGCGGGAAACAGGATTGGTGTTGAGGTCATGTGACGTCAGTTTTGCCGTTAATTAAGCGGGGTTACGCCGACGGCGACGCCGCTATACGCGGAAACGGGCGCCTAAGAGCAGCGGTTTAAAATACATCATATTTGTGCCCCTTTCTTAGTAAAAACACACGCGGCTCTTTCGGGCGCCTCTAATTCAAAGGAGCCGAAGAAGCTTTATTCCGAGTTTCTCATTCCTTTAGCAAAGTGAGCATTAAATGGAAGAAAAGGCTCGCTACTGAGAGGATTTAAGTCTGCTCTATGATAAAAAACAAAAACAAAATACCTTCGCAGAAAGTTTGTTTTTCACGATCAATTTTGTTTGCCTAAATCGTTCGTTTTTGGTGTGGTGTGTTTATCGCGTCACAAATGTGTTTGCGCCTTTGAGCTTCTGCAATACTTCGGATTTCTATCGCGTGTCTAATGCGTACCTCGCTTCAAAACTAGAATATTCATTTTGCGCGCTACTCATGCAAGCCACATTTATTTTGTACATTTCTATACTCTCATAATTTTCAGAGTGAGCTGTGATCAAGGATGCACTCCCACTTCAAAGACGCAGTTTGTGATTCAGCTTTACTTCGTATCACGGAGACAGCCAACCGCAGCGAAGCTATTTTCATCGCAATCTTTTACTAAAAAATCAGTCTTGAAAGGCTTTTTGATATCCCAAGAATTCTTTCAGCTCGCGAAGAACGATTTTGCCTGAAACACTATCGCACCCTGGCGCACCAGGGAGGCAACTGGGAGATGAAGAACTATTGTGCATAAAAAAGAAACTTAAAAGAACCTCTCATAGGTTTCTCGACAACAACCCTCTTAGGGTGGTTAAAATAACTTTTTAGGATGCAAATGATGAACAGACTAAATAATCGCTATAAGTTCTTTTGTTTTATTTATTTTTTGTTTTTACAGTGAGATTTCTGTAGTATGTTTGCCGTGATTGGCTGTGTCTGTGTTCTGTAGCAAACTGAACTGGTATACTTTTTAGTGTGCTTAACACTGATTATATGTATTTAAATGGTTGCAACTAATCGAAAAGATAATAAGCGTAGCGCCACAAACATTATATAGGGACTGACTTAAAAAAAAAGACAAATAATTGGTGCTTCCAGTGCACCGAAGAAAAGTATAGCAAATATATAGGACTATTTAGAGTGAATCTGGGGAACAACATTGTTTGCGTCCGTAAAGAAGCCGTCTGGCAATGCTACCGCAACTTTCCTTACTATTGATTCGATTCAAACAAAGAGAAAAAAGAGAAAACTAAATAGTACTAAAGACAGAATGTCATCTTCCACTCGCACATTGCAGTTCGGCTTTTTTTCCTTCGAGGAAGAGACTTCTGTGACGATAGGGCGAATTTAACCAAACTTACCGCCTCCTCACTTGCACGTTGAATGCTGCGCTGAAATTTCAGGAACCTCGTGACATGTTATGGTACAGTCTTGTGCATTGCATTCTTTCAAAGTGCCTTGCATCTGTACTGCTTTGCTATGCACCAGTTCGACATACACTTAGTTCTCCTTTGATCAATTCACACAATTAGAAATTCATTATTTTATTTTCCGATAGCCACGCAGCCTAAAGGAAAAAAGTTGTGGACGCCTTTTTGGCGCTGAGACTGCATGACCAAGGAAGCAAGTGACCAATCTTCTTATTGATCGAAACAACTACAGAATGACCGATGACTGGCGTTTCGTTTGCATCAGGGTGAAGTGCCCACGCAGGAGCTTTAAAGGTTGTTTATATGGTTGGACCAGGAGTGAAAAAAATCGGGAAAGTCAGTCGAACTGCGACGCAAGCACGAGCAACAAGGCCGAAAAGAAGAATTAAAGTTTATTACTAACTTGATATAATCCGAACAGCGCGCCTTATGTGATCCCCTAGAATGCAGAGTGAAGGCGAAACAATGACGGTATCCACTCGGAGATGACACTTCATGTCCACTACTCGAAACAACGTCGGCGCCGCAGAGTCACGTTGAGTTTTCTATCACAATCCGGGTATCACTCATCGGAGGCTTGTCCGCGTTCAGTGTCCTTGATGCTGTGAAACCAGCGTCCACACTCTCACCAATTCAATGCCACATAAGTCACTGCTATGCACACGGAATGATGTCGATGGCAGCTCACTCTTCGGCGAAAGGGAAGCTCTCTCGGGCGGCATCGGCCAATTCCATCACTATGCTTCGTTTCACCCTTAGGTCCGGACGCGTCCTATTTTGCGAGCTGATGGAACTCATCGAACGGCGTGAAAAGCGTAAGCCACTGGGCTTTCTCTGCACATGATTGGTTCAGCGATGATAGAGCACGCACCGAAACATAACAAAGAGCATGTTGGTACGCTTTTGACACCGTTTGCTTGGTATTAAGATATCATATCGCCAGCTGCATCCGGACGTAAGGGCAAATGAAGTGGAAGCCAGGCACAAAACAGAACGAAAGTAAAAACTTCCTTTGATCAACTTGACAGAACCGCTTTCCGATGCTGGAAACTATCCTTCATGTTTGGCAGGCTTATTTGGACGGGATAAACAATGGGATAAACAATGGGGTACGCTCAGTGTAGTAGAAAGTAAGGGATTGCGAGAGGGTGGGCGGGAGCGTTACGCGCATGGAGAGCTTAGGGTGTGAAGGGGTTACATATACAAAACTGCAGTGACTCTTCGGTGTCTGCTTGTAACATGCGTTTGCTCGATAATATCGTGGCAGCCAGCACACCACAAACGAGGGTAGAGGGAGGGGGAGGGGCGCTTTGCTGTGATGCTTGGAAGTTTTTATGCTCAGCGAGTATGCGAAAGATTATCGTCATGCGAATTTGTTTTTTTTACTTTTTCTAATATATGCTCGACGGGAGGCTCGACACTCGACAACGGAATCTCACAAATTCATGCAACGAGTCGTGCGTACAAATTGACGGTAGCGACTTTACTTTTTTTCGCACACCGGCAGCACCGCACCTTCTTTTACATCCAGTCTTCTCTGAGCTTAATAAAGTTTTATCTCTCTTTCTCTCTCCCTCTCTCTTACCAGAACTTTGATTTGATCACAACATTCTCCCTTTTCGAAACACTCTAGCCGTTAGCAGCACTCTAATGACTGCACATTGCAAAAAAATTCGCGTGTGAGTGTAAGTTTATATGTCATGAATTACCGTTGTACCAGAGCCATACTGGCACCTTCGTGATACTTCAGATTCCAATAACCGAACATCTTCACGAGCTTTTATCATCAGACTTAGAACTGCATTTGTAGAGAATCGTGCCTCTGATTTTTAAGGCTACGTTGTTTTCAGACTATTTTTTTATCTACTTGCTTTAAAAAGTGAATGACAGTTACAATATTTCTCGGTTGTGAGACAACCTAAATAAAATCTTTTTACCCCGCTAAATCGGGTAAACTGGCGACAGATTACAATTCAAAGAGTAACTATGATACAAACTTAAACTTGCGCCAAATTTACACCAAACTTCGCACAGCTTTACATCAAATTCACGACGCAGTGAAATTCATTTTTATGATAGAGCACGCATTACAATGCTAAATCTTAGGGTTCATCGTTGGTGGTACAAACGTAGATGCGTGCGCGGTATTACACTCTCCGTGCGTACAATGCGTCGCAATATTCTCAATACTCCTCTGATTGGGCTTCCGGTAGTCAGTTGTGCCGACAAAGCACGTTTTGAGCAAAGCATTTTTGTAAGCATCTAAAAGCATTTCAATATGTCTTTAAAAATATCGCCTTATTTGTTGTTAGTATGCCAGAACCATACCCGTGGCAAATATAAAACACCACAAACAAAAACCTCGAGAAAATTATAAAAAAAAGAGGAAGTTTTTGATAAAACTTTTCTCCCAACTCTCACTCCTTCCCTTTCACCAAAAGCGAGCGCCATTTCTGCCTCTCCACGTTCTTCGAGCGGAATGATACAAAGGGAGCCGAGGAACGCCGCTCCACAGGACGAAACTCCGCCTCGGCGTCGTCCTTCTGTGTCGTTGCCCACTCCGGCCAGGGTCCTTCGAGCGAGCAGTTCCAGAGACCGAGGTCTCGACGCTCGCCACGGGCGAGTAAGAAACAAGAACCGGCTTCGTTCACACGATTGTTTGCCGGTACTTGAGCGGCGGCGGAGGCAGGCACTCGGACAAGTCGGGCGACGACGCGGACTCCGGCTGGGGGACGGCAGTGCCGGCCGGAGTCGACGCGGGATCAACCACCAGCTTGACCCTCGTCTGGCCCCCGTTCTTGGGCTGGTACTCTTGCAGCGTCGAGCGGGCCATCGATTTCTGCGGGGTAAAGAGTCGAGTTTCAGGAGGGGGAGCAACTCGAGCCGTGAACGGCGTTTGACCTTTAATGGCGGACGTCTCTTGGGCACATCGGTCGAAAGTGGGCACGCGTTGAGTTGTCGCGCGGCGAGAAGGGAAGCGAGCGGAGAGGCGGAGCTATACCACCGAGTAAACAAAATCTACAATTCCTCTTCCTTCCCCCTTCCGTCATCGCTAGCGAATTCATGGAGCGTCCTGTACCTTGCGTCAGCGGCGACGATATCGCGTCTTCATTAGCCCGCGACGACGCCAATGCGGAGCGCAAGTTGGTCTGCTTCTTGCCCAGGCGGTTGCGTTGACATCAGAACGCCGAGCTCTTATTGGCTGATTGAAAAACGAAATAGTGAGTAGACCTCGAGGCATTTAGCATTGAGGTTTACCCACTATCCTTCCAACCAAAGCCAGTAGGAAATCAGCGTCGTTCTGACGTCACAGCGACCCTTGCAAAAGAAGCAGACGACTTGCTTTCCGCGTACGGACGCGTCTGCCACTTTGCTGCGGCTCTTGTCGAACTTCTGAGTGTTTGCCGTTTGGAGGCGCATTGGGAATCATCGAACGTTCACGTCGTGCGCGGGTATTTTCTTCTAAGTGGTAAGTATTGGGCGGAGACGCTTGCAGACACACCACATAGATAAAAAAAAAGCTCGTAGTGTTCAAACTTCGGCGTCACCCCCAAGGAGGCGAACGCGGGGCACGGATTGGTCGCAATTGGTTGCGTCATCGTTCAGATGGGACTCATGTCCAATCAGTGAGGACACGAATCTTTGCCGAATTCTGACGTAACAGTCGTGTCTACTCCGCGACCGGCGTTCGCCTCCTTAGAATTACGTAAAAAATTCAGCATTATGGTATGGCCTTGTATTGGATTGAATCTTTTTGCTTATTCCCTTTATATCGGGTGAATAGAGTCGATGCTCTGCTCCAGCCAAAACGTTGCTACGTCTTAATTACATCACTACTTCTAGCTCGCACGTCACCAGTCCTCTAGTCTTCTAGGAAATGTTGCTTGCAGGTGATTAACGATTTCCTCCTCTCCTTGTGGCTCGTATTGAAAGACGCGGCTCATAAACCACGTTACCTCCATAGAGCGGTTGGAAACACTTAGAAATCTAGGCACAGTACTGCGGGGGAGACCAAAAATTAAGCAAAGGCAAAAGCCGGGGAGAGGGATCGGTGGCGCGGAAGGCCGAGCCTCAGTAGAGGGGACAGACAACCGGGCTAGCAAACACGGTCTCTTCATCCGAAAGCGTGTTCCTTCCTCTACACCCACCTAACGATGGACCACATCTGGCGCTGCAGGTCATCCCGGCCGTCCCAGGGAATGTATCAAGCCACTACGCGCAGTGACCCTCTGTGAAGGTCAAGGGACGCTCGCACTGCATTGCACTGGGTTCGGTGGCTCATAGCGTTCCCAGTGGTTCATTGTAGGGTAAAGCCAAATATCGCAACTTCCTGCTTTCCCCCTCCCTTTTACGGTGCCGTTTTGATCGTCGACCGTGGTTGTGGACGGGCCGATCGGTCATCCTGACTCGGTAATATATGCACCTTTCACTGCGTCGCGTCCAGAGACGGATGAGTTTCCTCGTTGGCGAGTGAACTTCGTCATTTGCTTGATTTAGTATGCGAGAATGGCGTTCATAGGGTCATGGGGGGATGATCTTCGGACTGATAAGCCGGACACTGATAAATTGCGGCTTTCTTTTTTTACGAGGTTGCTGGATCGATATGCTCAAACTTTTTTTTTCATGAAGCTTTAAGAGTATCGATAGAGAAGTAGGGAGCTCATTTTTGTTCTATAGTTTAAGAAGTCACCAAGACTATAAAAAGGCTTCGTTAGCGAAGAAGCATTTTTACGACAGAAACGATTCACTTAAAAAAATCATGTCAAGCACCCCACGCGGGATGGTCAGAAGTAAATAAAAAAATTTAAATGAAAATATTACTGGTATGTTTTCATTGATGCGTTACCTTTAATGTGACTTCGGAATTTCTAGCGTCACTAAAAGGGTCAACAGCTTTAATCCGCGTCCTTTTAGGCGTCTTATGCGCCTCAACTTTCTTCATCGGATGGATTAAAATATTCAAAATCGTTTTTCGTCATGACGCACGCCTGCTTATGTCCATCTCGAAGAAAGTGACAGAGGTGAGTTGAGAAAGAAAGTCTGACAGCGACAAAATAAAACGCAGGTTTGTATAGTACGTACTTCGATGCAAGTCACTAGAAATCAATAATCATGTACAGTCGTCCTCAATATGAGCGTGAACACGCCGCCGTCGACCGATTGGTACTGCCAGCTCCAGCTAGCGGCGCTTCCACGAGTCACTGCGAGAATAAGCGCCTGCGCAGAAAGGACGGATGGGCTGTTACGAGAACGCACGCCACCTCCTTTTGCATTTCAGTTTGGATAAGGCAGTGAGTGATGCTTTATATATTTATAAAAATTGTGCGATCAGGGTGTAGATGCGACCTTCCACGCGCGCTCCGTTTTTCTGATCTCGCTTCGTGCGCTATCTTTTCGTTAACGGGGAACCGATTTTTTTTTCTAAGGAGGCGCGCATGTATTTTTTTTTTTTGACGAACAAGCATGATGGCGCGCTTTTGACGCTGTCTGATTGGTCCGATTGGCTCGTAGCATCGGCTGCGTCTGAATTTAAAGTGGAACGAAGTATAGATAAAACGTCTTCACTGATACCAACTTCAAGACCCAATCATAACGCCCCCGATTATTACTTCCTTGTCAAACAGATTTGTTTTATGCCATCTAGAGTGGCTATCGACTATGCCGACATGCGCAAGCTACACAGCAGGATTTGTCGTTTAAAAAGCGCAGTCCGTGGCCGATCGCTTATCACAACCAGCGCTTCGAACTATCAATAAAACAAAACAGACAAACCGTGGGCGGTTTTAAGATACCAGAACGGGGGTGATACACGCTATCGCAACAGCGCATCCGTCCTTTCTGCGCAGGCGCTTATTCTCGCAGTGACTCGTGGAAGCGCCGCTAGCTGGAGCTGGCAGTACCAATCGGTCGACGGCGGCGTGTTCACACTCATATTGAGGACGACTGTACTCTGTGTCACTTTAAGTCCGACAACCGCCGACGCTGCGATCTGGGGGAGCCAATCAGTCAGCGCGAAAAAGTGTATTGTCACGGTATTCGTTGTATTTGGGGGTTTGCATGTCACGTGAAACTAAAGTTTCTTGATACTTCTTTTTCCGAGTAACGACAGCCAACACAAATGATAAAGCAAGTTCCGCTGGAACAAAATGGCGTCGATCAATTCAGTCATCTGTTGTGCATTGCCATTCGCTTCCATTCGCTTCTTAAAACCTGCGCCGTCAGGCAGTCGGCGCTTCAAATAATGCCGCTACTTGTAGTAAGCTCTTATCTAAGATTTTTACGTCTAACGTCGCATCAGCGCTACCGTCATGCAGTGGCGTAGAATATATGCATTTCTACACAGGCTTAGCGACTTTTTCGAGCGCACACTTACAGGAACTCGAGAATACTGCTTCGTTTTGCCCTAACCGAAAAAGAAAGCAAAAATTGTCTCACAGTCACCCTAGAGCGTTTATTCCCATCTCTCGGAACCAGCCGCGCCACACTCGCCGAAATGTCCGGTTCGCACGACCGCGCCGCACGACGCGGTTGTTTTTGCGCCAGGTTATTCCCCAGAGGGAACAAGACACAATTGTTCTCGATTGGACGGAAACAAACAACGGAGTCGAAACCACAAACCAAGCCCGGTAGCAGCGTTGTCGCTGCGACAAAGATACGACGAGAGTGTGCTTTTCGCGGCTGCGTTCAGCAGATGAGAGACAAAAACAACACAAATGCAACGAGCTAAGAAAAAACAAATTCGCATCTGACTCTCGACGTACAATGTTTTAAATGAAAAAGTGGCCGGACAACAAGAAACGTCTGCTTCTGTGCAGTGAGGGAGGGGGTATGTACCCACGTTGAGACCTCTCTCGAACTTGTAAGCAGTTCAGCGGCGAGACTCGCGAAACAACTTACGCACAAACGAAACAACAAGAACACGGCCACCAGCGACAAAAGCGAGCAAAGAAGCAATCTACCAAATAAGTTTCGTATTCTTTTTCGCGGACCTTCGCTGTTCTTTTTACGTATGTATGTGTGTGCGTGTACGTGTGTGTGTCTTTTTCTTAGCGTACGATATGGTAGGATCTTGTCCCCTTTCAGCTTCATCTCTTCGCTTCCCTAATACTGCGCCCTGTGTTTTCTTTTTTGCAGCGTCTCGCGCTCGTATCCTGGAAGGGTGCTTCTTGTTTTCGTTCCGGATGGGGAAGTTCTCTTTCCCTAAATGGTTTCCTTCTAGGGAACCCGGGGCCATTAGTCGGCCTTCTTTGGCTCCTTCGCACGAATCTTTTAACATTTATTTTGCATGGGACGCTGCTGCTTTTTTAGCGATTACTTTTTTTTCTCTTTTATCCAAAAGCCTCGTGTAAGCCTGTAGAAGGCTGGTCCGGACTTAGCGCGCGGAAACTGTGTACGGGTGTATAGATCGCTGCGTCGAGGCCAAAGCGGGTTTATTTTCGAAGACAACTTGGGTTGCTTAGCATGCGGATAGGTCGAGCACTGCGCGATCTGTCTTGTTCGATCCATTTGCAGCGGGAGTCTTCAGAGTAGACGAACATTCAACCGACTCCCTTCGCAGACGAAAGACGAACAGCTCGCTTATGTTAGGTTGCTTGTGCTGGCGGATGAAATATTCGCAGAAATGGACACTGAAAAACATCCGCATACATACGAAGATAAAATTTGATTCGAGAGCCTAATTTATTTAACCGCAACTATTGCATGGTCGGCAAGGTACGAAAAATATAATTTAAAAGATAGTCGAAAAATAAAACAAAAAGGAATATCAAGCAATAGTTATAGCTTGATATCACCAATGAAGTTTTCAGTCAATAGGAAAGGTAAGGGGAAATTGAAAAA